TGTGTAAATTGCCTTCTGCAACCACCTCAGGTTCCTCATTGGGCTATGAAGGCACTAAGAACACTTGTTTCCTGGGTGGGTGGTTGTGGGGCCGAACAGCACAGCTCCTGGTGCCCACCCGGTGCAGGGTGTGATCCATCTGAACGTACGGTTGATGCCATATGGAGCTGCCACCCAGGCCCCCACGGGCCACACTCTGCATCCCTGACATCACTCTGTCTTCCCAGGGACCTGGGGCTGAGCACCTGTTTCCTCTTCATTTTTCAGGTGAGTAACCCAATGTTGGGCGAGGGTAAATCCTTGCCCAGGTAGGAAGTAGAGGAGGCAGAATTTGAACCCTGGTCTGTCTGGCTTCTACACCTAAGCTCTTTCCACCTCACCAGCCTGGTTTCGAATGACATTTCATTGGGAAGTAATGAACACATTTGTCTGGAAGACACCATCTCTCTGGTAAGTAATTAACTCCCTTGTTTTACAGATGAGGAAGTGCTGTACCCAGGGTCACACACAGAAACCAGGAGGCTAGAACTCTCTGCATGCATCCTCCACCCCTAATGAGTCTGGGGGAGGCTTGGGCTGAGACAGAGAAGGATGGGAACACTGGGTCCTGTTAGGGTCCACCCCCTAGCCCATCCACTGCCTGGCTGCACCCTGAAGTCCCTCCCCACCACTTATAGACAAAAAGACAAGGACAAGAGGCTGAGTCCTTCGTCTTTTCTAGACCTCAGTTTCCCTACCTGTATCATGAGTGAGGGCTGGGCTTGATGACCAGACATGCTACAGTTCAATGGTGTGTAGGGCACGGGGAGAGCCCCTGCCTGCCCCTCTAGGATCTGTCCCAGTGCCTGAAGCCCCACCACTCCAGCACCATCCTTCGGTTAGACTTTCCTCATCTGTGTCCCACATTCAGATTCCCTCCATCATTACCCGAGGGTGGCACATGCCATCGTCCCTAGGGTCCCACTGCCTGACCATGTGAGGGAGGGAGTAGGAAGGCCTTCCCATAGGCAGTATGGTGTGAACCATCCTGAGTCCTATCGTGCATGGCTGATGGTAGTGGGAGAGGCCCTGACTGTGGGCCCATCCGGGCTCCCCCTGACCCCACTGAGCTTCTCTGCCCTTCCCTATGAAATGGGAAGGGTGCTGTTACATCGGGGGGGGGGTTGGGCTGATGAACTGTCTGCCCTGGGGCTGGGCCTCTGGTCAATGGAAGTGGGGGTGAGTGCGGCAAAGGCAACCCAGAGGACCTTGCTCTACTTTCTAGACCCTCCCGGAGAAAGCAGGTTCAGCTCTGGGTTGGGAGGGTGGCAGGAAAAAACATCATCATTGTTCGCGGAACTGTGACTCATGTGTCATGTCAGGGTCACTCTGTGGGCTACTGACGCAGAGCGGGGAGCCCAGCCATTCTCAGCCTGGTCAGACCCCAGGGGGGAAGCGAGGGGGCCCCTGGGGAGATCTGTGAAGGGTCAGGCAGCTATGCCCAGAAGTGGTAGCCACATATTAAGACAGGTGGGACGAGATGACTTCTAAAACCAAAAACCAAACTCATTGCCATCCAGTCAAGACCAACTCACAGAAACCCCTCCTTGGGTTTCTGAGGCAGTATGTCTATGGCAGTCTTCCTTCCGAGGAGTGGCTGGTGGGTTTGAACCACCAGCGTACTAGTTAGCAGTCAAATGCCTTAGACACTACACCACCATGGCTCCCAGATGCCTTCTATTAGCTCCCAAACAGAGCCTGAAATCACACCCTCCACATCTAAATGCACCTGTATCCCCTTCACTCTCTCCTGAAGCACAAACCATAATCCATGGCCATCGAGTTGATTACAACTCACAGTGACCCAATGGGACAGAGAAGAACTGCCCACAGGATTTCCAAAGGTATAAAGCTTTACAGAAGCAGACTGCCTCATCTTTCTCCTGCAGAGTGCTGGTCTGTTCAAACTGCTGACCTTTAGGTTAGCAGCTGAATACTTTAACCACTGTACCACCAGAGCTCCTCTTTTGAAGCACCAAACCAAGCCAAACTGACCTTCATTGAGTCAATTCTGACTCATAGCGACTCCCAGGCTGTACATCTTTACGGAAGCCAACTGCCTCATCTTTCTTCCGCAGAGCAGCTGGTGGGTTCAAACCACTGACATTTTGGTTAGCAGCCCAATGTCTTAACCACTGCACCACCAGAGCACCTTTTTGAAGCGCAGTCCCTGATAAATTGTAAAAGCTCTGAAAAGGAGTGGTGCGTCAAGGACGCACTGCCAACTCGTTACCTTTTTGTCTGGCTGATTGTTTTGAATAGGATTGACGGACAAGCAAAGTACGAGGGTCAGGGAGTATGGACAGGAACACCACCAGTACCAGCTGCCATCGAGTCGATCTGACTAATGGTGGCCTCGGGTGTGGTAGAATAGACTGTCCTCCATAGGGTGTCAGTGGCTGATGCTTTAGGAATAGATTGCCAGAACGTCTTCTGAGCTGCCTCTGGGTGGATGTGAACCTCCATCCAAGATGTGAGCAGCTTGACCTTTCTACCACCCTGGGACTCTGGACACGAACTCCTGAGTCTGAGAATTCCAAAGCCCTAGAATCTCCTAGGTTTAGTCTGTTGGAATCTTGTGAAGCCAAGAGATCAGAATCCCAGCCTCTCAGAATCCCGAGCCTCGGGGTTGGGAGGGGTTGTTGTGGTCCAGCTCCTGCCTGGTCAAGAATATTCTCTTCAACCTCCTGACTGGCTCCTCTGCCTCCTAGATCCCAGGTGGGGAAGGGTCTCTTCAGCTCTGCAATGGCTGCTTCAAGATCACTCCTTGCTCCCCTAACCTCTATCCTGCCTCCCAATAGAAACATTGAGGTTCCTGATGCTCCCCTCCTAAGCCTACCACTCCACCACCTCTTGACCCTCCTCTTTTCTAACCATCATCACCCCTGTCCCTAAACCTTCCTCAGCTTCCTCTATGGGTGCTTCCACACAGCATTTAGACGTGGAATCTTCCCCATCTTAGATACCCCCTTCCATGAAGGAGAGTCAGGAAGAGGAGGAAGAAATGGAATGTGGGGCTAATTGCCTTCACAAACAACTTCCTCCATTGCCATGAGACCTGAAGAACTGGGTGGTACCTGGCTACCATTCCTGAACATTTGGATCTAAGAATCTACAGAAGAATCCTGACCAAAAGTGGGGGGAAATGTGGAACAGAATTTCAATTGTCATGGAATTCAGACTATCTGGAGTCACGGAGGCTGGATGAACCCCTGAAACTACTGCCCTGAGATAATCTTCAACCCTGAAACTATAACCAAAAATATCCCCTGGAGCCCTCTTTAAACCAAATAGCAGTCTAGGTTAACTTGTAAAGATTGTTATGAACATGGTGCTCTTTCTAAGAACTGACTACATGGGATCAAATTATTAACAGCAACTGGAAGTCAGACAGGAAGCCTAGGTGAAGTGAGTGTGAGACAATACAGGGGAAACAAGTTGGAAAAAGTGAGTGAGAATGGCTGCACAATTTGAAGAACGTAATCAATGGCACTGTAATCTACATGTAGAAGTCATTGAATTGACGTGTTGTGCTGTGTATATTTTCAACAACCATATATATAGGAGTTAGTTACATGTATAGTATGTATGTATACACACCCCCTTCTTGACATTTTAGGAGGAGGTCTGGTGGCACTGTGGTTAAAGCATTGGGCTGCTAGCCGAAAGGTCAGAGGGTAGAAAACCATCAGCCACTCCACGGGAGAAAGATGAGGCAGTCTGCTTCTGTCAAGATTTATAGCCTGAGAAACCCTATGGGGCAGTTCTACTGTGTCCTGTAGGGTTGCTCTGAGTGGGCCTTGACTCACCAGCAGTGGGTTTGGTTTTTGTTTGTTTGGGTTTTAGGAGCCCTGGTGGAGTGATGGTTAAGTGCTCGACTGCTTACCAAAGGCAGGCAGTTTGAACTCACCGGTTGCTCTGAGGGAGAAAAGACCTGGCCACCTGCTCCCATGAAGGTCACCCCATGGAGCAGCTCTGCTCCGTCTTGCAGGGTCACTCAGAGTTGGACCCAACTGGGCGGCACACAGCAGTAATAACCTTGCATGCCTCCTCTCCACACGCATGTCTCCAAAGCATATCTGCTCCGTCTCCCTTCCCTCCTTGGTCCCCTGCCCACCCCACTCCTCTAAAGCTGGCAGGACTTTTGGCGACCTTCTGCTGCCAGACCCTGAGCTTTTGCTGGTCCTCACCCTGCTGACCTGACCCTGCCAGATCTAACCCTGGGATGGGCTTTCCTTTGCTTGACCCCAGCCTCCAGCCACCTCACAGAGGGACTCACACTTTCATCAGAGGCAAAGGGCAGGAACAGGTGAAAGGGCGGGTCCCCAGGGGGACATAGGCGGCACAAGGTTGTCCTCTTGCCAGGAGTATTCTGATGATGAAAAGTGGTGCCCGGGCCCTGGCTGTGTGGCTTTTCAGCCGTGACCTTGGCCAACAGTGGGAGGCTGGCATAGAGAAGACCAGCCTCCATTTGCTCCTCGGTGGGCTTAGGTGCACAGGCACTCTCGTTTGACAACTCCGAATGTCAGACACTGTGGCTCCAGTGCCCAAGGCAAGCTGCCATCTCTCTAACTGTTAAGCTGCCGTCTCTCTAACTGTTAAGCAGTCATCTCTCTAGCTGTTAAGCGGCCATCTCTCTAGCTGTTAAGCGGCCATCTCTCTAACTGTTAAGCGGCCATCTCTCTAACTGTTAAGCAGTCATCTCTCTAACTGTTTTGAACACAGAGCTGTCTAGTGACCACATGTGCATCTGAGGCCTTTCGGGTAGCAGGAGTGTGGAAGGCACCAAGGAGGGGACCAGGGCAGGGCAGAGTTGCTGCTGGGGACAGCAGGCCTGCTGCCAACCCTCTCCCCTTTTCTGTGCCTCACCTCCAGGGCTTGCACTCCCAAGAGTGGTATCTGTGGGAGAGTGGAAAAAGCCTAGGGAAGGAGGAGAGGGAGGGGGTTTGCGGAGTGGGTACCTCCTGTTTTGGATCGTCCACTGGCCATGCGTACACGGTAGGTCGTATTTCTGCCTCCGCAGTGCGTAGGCGTCAAACCACAGGGCCAGGCCGTACTCCAGAGAAGGCACCTGAGAGACAGGTGTCCATATTAGGGGCTAGGGGTGTGGCCAGCTGGTGGGTGTGGCCAGCTATCCACAAGAGCAGCAGGGAAGGAAGCCTGTGGGGTGCTTCGGGCAGAGGGTAGGCGGCAGGCAGGCAGGACGTGGGGCTCACCGTGAGATGCCAGGAGCAGTGGGTACTGGGTGAGTAGTAGCTGGGGAAGTATGGTGTGCTGAGGACGCCCTGCAGGTCCAGCCGGCCCTCCAGTGTCAGGTTTAACTCGCAGGCTGGGCCCAGAGAACAGCTCATTACACAAGGTCCCTCGGTCAGGGTCTCCGGCTGCACCTCCCGTGAGGTGCACCCCTGCCGTCGCTTGGCCGCCATCTTTGCCAATACCCGTCGCTATCTGCTACTATATCTGCCACCACTCCTACTACCACTCCTGCCCCTGCCACCACCCCTGACATCACCCCTATCACCACCCCTGCCACCACTCCTGGTAGCATTAGACTGTAAAGTATAGTGGTTGAATGTGACTGTGGGACCTTAAGCAAGTCGCTTGACCTCTCTGGGCCTCAGTGTCCTCATCTGTGACATGGAGCCCATCATAATGCATACCTCTTAGGGTCCTTGAGCAGATTAGACATAAAACGTTCAAACTGCCTGGCATGTACTAAGTGCACAGAAAACGCTAGTAGACCAGTTGCACCGCACTTGACAGTTCAACAAATGAATTCCAACTGTTGGAGCCTCAATTCCGGGAAGCAGAAAAAGAGGGAGAGTTGCTCCCCTTCCCACAGATGAGGAAAGGTTGGCTGAGATCACGCAGTGAGTGGACAGGGACCCGAAGCAGGACTCCCCTCAGCTGCTCCAGCCACCTCCCTCCGGAGCTCCTCAGCCGCCTCCCCCAGAACCAGGGTCAGAGACTCCCAGGGCCCCTCGTCAGCCTCAGGAAGCCCCAAATGGCAGGCAGCACCCCAGTAGGGCCAGGAAGAGGTTGCCCAGGAAAGGGGGCGGCAACTGAGGAGGAAGGAGCAGTGGGAGGTGGGAGGCTGAGGCGCGAGGGGAAGATGAGGAAAATGAGAGAGGAGGGAAGAGGGAGTCAAGGGTCTCAGACAGAGCGACTTCCAGAAACTTCTCCTTCTCAGCCCTGTCCCCAATTAGGCAAAGAAGGTAAAGGCACACCCACAGGTATGTCCCCCTCCCCCCGGCCCTCTGAGCCCCTCACCCTGGAAGGCCACGGGCTGCACGGAGAGCATGAAGGGGTCATAGTAGCTGTGTAGACCTTTCTTCCAGACCACAGCCATGACGGCGCCCGAAGCCAGCACCTCCACCACCGGCTCCTGGCGGCTGCAGCCATAGACCCTAGTGGAACAGAGAAGGGGGGCAGGGCGTGCTGTGGCCTGGGAAGGTCCGGGAGGGCATGCAGTCAGAGTGGAGCAAAGTAGAGCGGGCTGGGAGTCTGTACACCTAGGTTCCGGGCCCTGTTCTGTGGCCAGTTCATAGGCAAGTCTCTTCTCTCTCAGTCCCAGGGGATTGTGGTCCAGGCCAGCTCCAAAGGTCAAGGGAGGCCAGAGATCAACCAGAGGTCTAGAGCTTACAGTTGGGCTGTGGTGCCTGGCTCTAGTCCCACAGCCTTGCCCAACCAGTAGACGAGACTGGCTCCTGTAAGGACCATCCCCTCTGCTGACCACACCCTGACTCTGGGGCCTTCACCTGGGCCGGGACACAAGGAAGGTCTGTGCCCCCAGAAATCCACTCAGAGCTTGGTACCTGGGAAGCTCAGAACAAATAATGTCATCTTAGAATTCTAATCCAACAGAGAGTCAGCGGAAAAGAGAGTAACCCTCAATGAGCTGGCTCAACACAGGGGCTGCAACAAAGGGCTCACCCACAGCATCCACTGGGAGGGTGCTGTAGGACCAGACAGCGTTCCGTTCTGTTCATGAGACTGCTGTGAATCAGAACTGCCTTGATGGCGCCTAACAACACCAGTCCACAGTGTCAGGCTGGGAGCTCTTCAGTGTGTTGTGGTCCATCCTCTTAGTTTACAGATGGGGCAGCTGAGGCTCAGGTATTTGCCAAGGCTCCACCACCAACCCATGGCAGAGAGCGTACTGAGCGCTGCCTGGGACAATGCCTGGGGCCCTCCCACTATGCAGCGCTCCCAGACCTTCCCCTCTCAGGGGGTGGAGTCCTCAGGTTTACTCCCCTCGGGGGGTGGTGCCCCCAGATCTCCCCCTCTCACTGTGGTGTCCCCAGATCTCCCCTCCCAGGGGGTGGTGTCCCCAGGCCTCCCCATCTTTGGCTGTGGCGTCCAAGCTTTCCCTTCACCCTCTCACTGCCCTCCATCAAACTTCCCATTGTCCCTGACAGAACTCCCAGAGTCCTAATCCGAAGGACCAGTTCACAGGAGGTTGGTGACCCTATCTTCCCAGAGAAAGCAAGCCCACCTCCGGCAGCAGTGTACTGCAGGCCCACTAGGCCCAGCCGTAGGACCTTGGAGGAGGGAGTGGGCTGAGGGAGGTGCTGGAGGCACTTGGCCAAGGCCTTCCTGAGGGCCTTCCTATAGCTCACAACCCGCACCGTGGACACCTCTCACAGCCTGCAGCCTGGCAAATGAGTGAAGTGAGTAATTCTCAGGGGTCTCCCATGGCTGGGCCTAGTGTTGAAGGGTCCAGGGCTGGGCATTTCCCCTGGCCTCTTGCCTCAGCTCTTCCAGGGCAGGAAGGCAAGTTTTCTGACCCCTCCTACCCCCATCACCATGGCTGCTGGTTCTCCTTTGTCCTGATTTTATCCTCATTGGTTTGTTCTTTCTGCTTGGTGTGAAGTCCCTGGGACCAGGGTCTCCCTCTGCACCCCACCCCTCCATCACACACACACACACCCCTTCCCTCTCATCTCCCCCTGGAGGCGGAGGTAAGCTGTTAGAGCTAAGAGGGCCCTGGAGGCACCCTGAAATGGGGGCTTCAGCTTTTATTGTTGGTGCTTTGTCTTACTGTATTTACTCAGCAACAGTACCCTTGTAGCAAATATGTTCCAGAATCTCCCCAAGTCCGGTGAGTGGAATACTCAGAAGCCAGCCACATGGTTAAAGGTACACGGGGGTCCCACTTGCTCCGTTTTCCTATCGCCACCAAAAACCAGTAGTTCTGGGGTGCAGGTTTGAGGACCCCACTCTTATCTAACTTCACCATTTTAGACCTCTGAGACATAGGTGGGGAGGAGCGGGCTGGGGCCACAGGGAGAAGCCCCAGGGGAAGCCCATAAGTGCCCCCACCCTCCTAGCCTGAAAACCAGATGGTATCTGGGCTTGCTGCATTTCTGAGAGCCCTCTGGGAACCCAGCCTGGGCACAGCCCAGTCTGAGGTCACTCGTGGTGGCACCAAATAAGCGTGCAGCCTGCAGCCCTGGGGGTGGGGCAGGGGTGGGAGCCTTCATCTAGATCCACCTCCAGGCCTGGTCTTGATCTGCACACTCAGATCCCAACCCCTCCCCCCAGAAGGTGGGCGGGTCCCAAGCAAGAGAGGAGGTGCCAGCCCAGAGCCTGGCATGAAGCAGGTGACCTATCAGTGATGACTCAGAGTGCTGTCACCCTGAGTATCTTTCCACACCTCCTACGGAGCCCTTTAAGCTCACCACTCCTCTTCCGGACCTGTGGGGAGACAGCCAGGCTCCTGGAGTCTCAAAGCTATTTCCACTCTCCCTGCCACCATCTACCCTGTGACCCTAGTCACTTCTGCACTCCACCACCATATCCCACATCCTAAAGCCCACTCTTCTACTCAAGAACTTTCAATAGCTCCCCGCTTACCCTGTTAGTCCAAATTGTTCCTGGCACTCAAGGCTCTTTGTGATCCAGCCTCGACCAGATAATATACAATGATAGTAACAATGACCAGCATTTGCTGGGCGTCCACTGTGTGCAAGAATCTTGGCACAGATGGTCTGATTTTAATTCTCATAATAACACTACAAGGGAAGCATGATTGTCCACATGTCATGGGTGAGGAAACAGGCTGAGGAAGGCACAGTGACTTGCCTTGGAGTATACAGCTAGGAAGACTGCCAGTCAGGGCCGCCAGTTTCTCAAACATTCCAATAAGCATGTGGCCTCCCAGCGCTGACCTTAGGTGTTCCCTAGTACAACTTTTTTGTTACAGATGGGAAAACTGAGGCTCAGGAAGGCCCCACAATACAGCCATTTCCAGTTTTCTCTCACTGGAAGCTAATCACACTGTCTCCCTGATACCCAGGTCCAAGGTCACACAGCTCCTTGTTTTAGAATGCTGGGTCTGATCTTTGATCCCACATGACCCACCTCCATCCTAGGAGTCCCCACCCTACCCCGCCCTGCGTTCCCTGGGACTTACGAGGTGATGAGCCTCTTCTCCAGGGGCCCAGCCACATCGTACATGGCCAGCCGGTCCCGGCACTCGGCCAGCATCCACTCAAGTCGGAGTTTGAGCATGAGATCCTGGGGGCCCTGCAGGTGCCACAGGCAGCTGGAGGCCAGGTTGTCGGGCGCCTTCAGGCGGAGCACCTGGCCCTGGCCCACGTAGCTGTAGCGGTAGCAGCCTGGAAGGGGGAGATGGACAGGTGCCCTGGCCCTTGCTAGCTGAGAGGAGAGCCGGGCTCTGCAGGGGCCTCACTCAGGCAAGGGTGGGGCAGGGACAGCAGCCAGACGGGGTCAGCCCAGACATGCTAGGGCCCATCCTTCTTTTCCCTGTGGCTTTCCCTGAGGTCCAGTCTCCTCATTCATTCATTCACTGGTTCCACCACTCATTCAGTTAACAGACACTCAAAGTCCTCCATGCCAGGCAAGTGCCAAGATAAAGATCCGATTACTTCCCATGGGGATGCTGAGGACAGGCTAGGAGACAGATACAGAAACAGGTAATAATAGGTCAGAAGGTGAGGCCTTCAAACTGACCTGCAGATCAGGGAAGTCCTGGGGTCACAGCTCAGGCAGAGGCCAGAGGCCAGGGCAAGCAGAACTTCGAGGGGTCTGAGCACAAGGTGTCTACAACAAGAGGTGATGCCAGGGAAGAAAGCAGGGCCCAGATCATGCCCAGGAGAGGTACTGCTTTGTCCTGCAGCCCTGGAGAGCCATGGAGGGTTAAGCAGGCCTGGGGCTGGTCTGCTTGGGATCACAGAGGCTCCTGGGAGGCCAGTGAGGCAGCTTGTGCAGTAAATGAGAAGGGTTGGAGGCTTCACCTCAGGATGTGTTATGCATTACATTGTGTCTCCCCAAAATGTGACTCAAAATTCCAACCCCTGTACCTACAAATATGGCCCTGCTGGGAAATGGGGGTCTTCTTTAGTTCTGTTGATGAGATCATATCGGAGCTAGGTGGGTCCTAAGCCCAATCACTTTTGAGTTATAAAAAGAGCAGCACAGACTCAGGGAGCAGACAGATGCCAAGGGCAGCAAAGAACACCAAGGAATGCGGAAGAGTTATGGAAGTTACCGCAATCTAGGAAGAAGGAATCAACACGGCTGAGAGCCTAATTTGGACTTTCAGCCTCCACAACTGTGAGAAAATACATTACAGTTCTTTTAAGCCGCTCCCTTGTGACATTTCCTTAGGATAGCACTAGGTAACTAAGAAAGGTGGGGAGAAGGGAATTATTCGTGAGGGCTCCAGAGGCAGCCCCAGGGAGAGGAGGTGAATTTTGAGCGGAATGAGGAGGAAGCAAGTTGCACTTACTGAGTTCATGGTACATGCAGCCCTGGGCTGAGCGCTCTACACACAGCACCTCATTCAAGGCTCACAACAACCCCGGGGAGACGTTCTCAGCCACTGCCCTCGCCCCAGACCTGGGGCTGGCTAGACCTGGCTTCACCGAGTCTCCACCCAGCGTCTCCTGAGCCTTGGTTTTCTCCTCTGTTCTTGCAGGGTGGTCACAGGCTTAGGCGTGATGCCTATTAGAGTGCTCAGCACAGTGCCTGGCACACAGTAGGTGCTCAGTAACTGTAGTGACTGTTCTCCTCTGGATGGCCAGGGTGAGTGGGAGAAGGTGGAGGAGCTAGGGAGAAAGTTGTGGCTTATCACCCTTCTGTGACCCTGATTGAGGCTCAGACCTAGCCGGTCTCATTGGCTGCCCCACTTCACACCTCCTTCTGCATCACACAGACACACCTGCCCACACGGCCACACCCACACACACCAGCTGTGGCTCTTCTCCTACCCTTAAGCCATTAGCTTTGTGTCAAGTGCTGGCAGCTGCAGAACAGTGCCTCCCGGACCACTCACTCATTCAAAATACTTGTTGAGCACCTGCTATGTGTTTGGGAGCTCTGGTAGCATAGTGCCTAAAGCACTTAACTACTAACCAGAAGGCTGGCGGTTCAAACCCACCAGCCACTCCTCAGAAGGAAGATGGGGCAATCTACTTCCATAGTGATACTGCCTCAGAAACCCAAGGAGGGGTCACTATGAGTCAAGTCCGACATGAAGGTACATAACAACAGCTATGTGTTTGGTCCAGACACCAGGGACCAGCAGTGGACAGACAGACAAATATCCTCTCCTGTGGAACAGACAGTATCCTTTATAACTGTCATAAACCTGCAAAGCAGTGAGGTTGGGTGATCTGCTAGGAAAGGATAGGGGTGTGGGACTGAACCCTGGACCTGGGAGACAGCCTGGTGTGTGCACACTCTGCACTAGTCCCAGCACGGCCACACGTCAGCTGTGTGACTCCGGGGGAGTTGCTTAGCTACTCTGAACTCTGGCAAACAGATACAATAACAGTTTCTGTCCCACCTCTGTTTCCGGGTGCTCTGAGGATCAACGAGGGAATGAAAGAGTACACGCTTTGACCCCTGGCCATCTTGACTCCAGCAGGGAGCTGGCCTCCCCAGGGAGGGACCTCTGACCCTTGCTGGGACTTCTGCTTCAGCCAGCAGCTCAGAGAGGTACCTGGCTGTTCCTAGGTGTTTGTGTTCTTTAAATCTTGCTCCATGGGGATGCTTTGATTTTTACCATTTTAGTGATTACTTTTCTAAACAACTTGATTTATTTCGTTGTTGTTGGCAATCTACACAGCAAAACACCCACCAATTCAACTGTTTCAACAGCTACGCTTCAGTGACATTGATGGGCTTCGGAGGCGGTAAATCTTTACGGAAGTAGATTGCCCAGTCTTCCTTCAGTGGAGTGGCTGGTGGGTTTGAACTGCTGCCTTCTGGTTAGCAGTCAAATGCCTTAGGCACTAGGCCACCAGAGCTCCTTGCCCCCTTGGGTTCCTCTAATCTTTGGAGTTGCTGTTGTCAATTTGCTCCCATGTAGATAGATCTTAAAAAAGGACAATGCTCAAGGCAGAGTTTTTTTTTTTTTTTTTTTTTCTGGTTACACTAAACTATTGCTTGGTCTTAAGAAGACTTTAGGGGATATTTTTGGTTTAAGGTTTAAAGGGCAATGATTTCAGTGATCCACCCTCCATGGCTCCAGAAAGTCTGGAGTCTGTGACAATGTGGAACTCTGTTCTGCATTTCCCCCCTTTTGATCAGGATTTAATGATTACTTTTCTTTGTAGGCTAATTAAGTGGAGATGAGTGTGCTGGTCTCTGAGGTTAACAGAGGCACAACTTTGGGGGGGTCTGGCATTCACACATTCCTCTCTTCCCGCCTTTTCTCACCCTGTTCCCTCTGCCCGGAGTTCCCTTTCTCCCTTCTGGATTGGACAGATTCCTACCTGTCCCTAGGCCTGAGTCTGATGCCCCTTCCTCCATAAAGGCTTCCTGGATCCCCAAGTCAGAAGCAACTCCTCTCCCCTGTGGGTTCCCAGCACTCTGGGCTGGGCCTCTAGAGGCATGTCCCTTCCCCACCTTGGCTTACAATGTACCCCTGGTATCCTGCTCTCTCCCAGGGGCAGAACGATTCCCTCTCTCAGGCATCCCTGGGGCCTCTATTCTAGCACCAGGCTGGTGTAGTGAGGATCTGTTTATGCATCTGTATTGCCCATGGGGCTCTGAGTTCCTCTGAGGGAAGGGATGAGGACATGGGTGTGGACAAGGGCTTGGCATCGAAGTGCTCAAAACGTCTTCTGGGTGGGTCTGTATTGTCAAACTGCCTCCGTGGGCTGAGATCTGGGTGGTAAAAGGGCTCTAGGTGTGCGCTGAACCTACTGAGTTAGTGCAAAGCAGCTGCCAGAACGTGGAACATGTGGACATGGCATAGGCAAGGACAATACGGAGGTCCTTCCCAGACTCCAAGGGTCAGGGCAACGTGTGTGCCAATGAGGTGTGGGTGCACACATGAGCACACAGGCAGGTGCACGCAGGAAGGTCGCTGGGGTGGGGCAGGATGGGGTAGGGCAGGGCAGGGCAGGATGGTGGCAGTTTCAATAACTAGGTGCCTGTCCCTCCCTTTTTACCAGTTTCCTCTTCCCTTGTCCCCTTCTGCAGCCACTGCATGGCTGGCCCTAAGGGGCACCCCCTGGCTGACAGAGCTGTCAGAGGGTCCTGTGAATGGCTGTGATCTTCAAAGGAAGACAAATAGGGAAAAGCCCAGGTCTGCACTTGCAGAAGCCCGTCCTTAAAGGAGCACAGGCTCTCTCTGGACTCTGGGCTTTGGACACCAGGCCCAAACTGGGACGGCCGGCATCGGGGGTTACTGCCTTCTTTGTTTCCACTGTGTTCCTGAGGGGTGCACCTGGCCATCTGCATGTCCACCGCCTCCTGGGGGTTCTAACTGAAATCCAGATCCCTGCTTCCAGCCCCACCCCGGGATCTGAGTGGGCGGGGTATATGTGCTTTGCAATCTAACCAGCTTCCCAGGGGTTCCTGCTGGACCTCAGAGGCGCTGGAGAATCACCCTGTAAACACAGCTGAGAGGAAATGCAGGGACCTGTGGAAACCACCTTCCCAGTGATAGGAATTCACTACCATCGAGTTGATTTTGACTCATAGGGACCCTCACTGGGTTTCCAAGGCTGTAAATCTTTACAGACGCAGACTGCCTCATCTTTCTTCCACTGAACAGCTGGCGGGGGGGCGGTTTCAAACCTCTGACCTTTTGGTTAGCAGCCTAATGCCTTAACCATTGCACCACCAGAGCTCCTTAGTGATAAGAAAGTTATCCCCAAATCAAACAAACAGATGCCTGTGGTGAGAGCCCTTCCAGTGCCACCGAGAGCAGGATTCTCAAGAAGGAACTCCTTAGGGACCCTCCTGGGGAGGTAGAGGGACCCAAACTATTTTTGTAATAATTCTAAGAGACCTTGTTTGCTTTTTCCACCTCACTCTCTCGTGAACGCACACTGGAGCTGTCCGGAGCTCTGTGACGTTGACGTCACTGCAGACTGAGCGCCAAACCAGGAGGAGCCCAGCTGTCCCCTCAGGAGCCCAGCACCACAGAAACCTATGGAAATGGACAACAGGCGGCTCTCCAGACTCAAGATCTCTGATTTGGAAAGCAATTATTTGTATAAAAATATGCTGTTTCTGTTACTGTGTTGTTATTTGTGATGATTCTATCTGTCTACGCATCTTCTTATTGTTTTAAAAATAAATGAAGAAGTAGTTTTCATTTCTGAGATAAATGTCGGTGTCTATCACCTGCATTAACAAAAGCTCTTGGGGACCTCAGTCATTTTGAGAAGCATCGGGAAGTCCAGAGACCAAAATGTTTGAGAATCACTGCCCTTGAGCAGGGGTCAGTGAAGTTTTGGTAAAGGGCCAGAGAGTGAAGATTTTAGGCTTTGTGAACTAAAAATCAAACGAGGCTATCTATTATTATGCAAGTACTTCTACAATGAGAGAGAGAGAGAGGGAAAAAAAAAAAAAACCACAAATTTGTTCTTCAATCATTTAAAAAATATAAGCACCATTCTTAGCTCCTAGGCTGTGGGCCAGATTTGGCCAAGCTCTGTCTTAGAATGTTGTCTGTTTGACTTACTACGGGCTACTGATTAGGTCCTAGACTGTTGAGTTAGATGTTAACTTTCAAAAGCCTGATAAACTGTAAATGATTTTGATTAGGTTGACAAGATAGCCTCCGAAGTTATAGTTTCATTGTCCGGTGGGACATTAACCGTTGGGATCTAATTTTGTGATCTCCTCCCAGCATTCCTTCTTCATGGACTGGGGAGAGAGGTCCCTGGGAGGCTCACACAGTTTTCGTTCCTCTCCTAACCTAAAGGCTGGCAATATGAAACCACCCAGCAATGCCGTGGAAGAAAGGCCTGGCAGTCTTCTTCTGAGAAGGTTAGAGCCAAGAAAACCCTTTGGAACACAGTTCTGCTCTGTAGCACGTGGAGGTGACATGAACTGGAATCAACCTGACAGCAGTGAGTTTAGTTTTTCTGGTTGGTAGATGGCTAGAGAGCTAGAGAGATGATACATAGATAATACATAGATGATAGATGGATAAATCGTAGATGGGTTGACAGAAATACGGATGATAGAGGATAGAGAAATGACAGAGTAACCTGTTTCTTGCATTCTCCTTTGAACCAGTTTTACCTCCTACTGGTTTCCTCATTAACGAGTTAAATACATCCTTGACATGTGCTCACTTTATCTTTGTATAAGAACCAGGATTTTAAATTTTTAGAAATCATACTTTGACCCCAGCACTTCCATCCACCAAGGAAGTAAGAGTTTGACTGCAGGCTGGGAGGTCAGAGAAGGTATAACCAGGATTTAAATTCTGCCTCCATCTGTGGGAGGGGGCTGAGGACTCTCTCCCTACCTCTGCTCTGGAGAGAAACTCTTGATAACGTCAGAGGTATCTGAGAATCAGGGGCTTGTGCTCAGGGGTCATGGAACAGCAGCACAGATGGAGCAGTGCACGGCTCTAGGGTGGCAGGTCACACAGACGGTGTGGACAGTGCACCCTGGCGTTGTGCAGCATGGTGGCCTTGGTGGTGCTCTGCTTAGGCTCTGGGCCTCTCGGAGAAAGCAAGGGGCTCCGGCAGGGGCACCAGGGTGGTGGCAGGAAGGGAGTCAGAGAGGGCAGACCAGCCTGGCTGAGAAAAAGAAGGAAAAGGTGGGGCAAGTATCCTTGAATGTGATGGAAATGTTACCCCCGAGAGGCCACGTCTTAAGCCCAAAGTGATGCTATACCTTGAATTGGCAAGATTATTTTCAACTGTCAGGGGAAAAGGTGGTGGGTGGGCAAGTTGAATTCAATGATAGATGACCATGTTTATGTACAACTAAACCCACTGGTCACCCTCACACAGGGCACCCAGGCATACCATGTACATGACACCCACACATGTGGACACTCATGCAGGACACACCCTCCCCTCCGCCACAGGCCCGAGCCTAGCAGGACCCCCTCAAGGTGGCACCCCCAGGTGAGTTCAGGCCAGGACTCCTGGTACCCACCTCCCACGGAAATCACTTGGCCCCTGACCCTCCACCAAGCCAAGAAAAACACCAACTCAAAAGAAAAGAGGGAGGAAAACAGAAAAAGTAGCGTACCCAGCGTGGAATTCAGTGCAACTATGTCTTTCACGCTGGCCTCTGTTCAAAACAAAACGAAACAAAACACATAGAAATAAAAATAAAATAAATAAAGTAAAAGAAAAAAACATTAAAATAGAGCCAGCCTTGTCTGACACTTACCGACTGTCTCTACCCCCCCCACACACACACCCCACCCCCTGGCCCTCTGGCCTGGCTCCTGGTCACTCAGACTCGAGGGTCCCCTCTGAGAGCACCCGGGGTCCTAGCGGCCTTCCCAGGCCTTGCCTTCAGCTTGTCTGCCCGGGCACGCCAGGCCGACCGCATGTTCCCCGCCCCAGTACTGACCCAGGACCACCAGACCCTCGGCGTCCACCTCGTACTCGGCCCTGTAGGGAGCGGCAGCTGAGCTGTTGGCCGTGGACAGCAGCTCCTCCACCAGCAGGGCCTGCACCACCTCTGGGCCCAGCATAGGTCGGCGGTACTCGGGAATTTGTAGGATGAACCAGAAGAAGCAGGTGAAGGGTCCATCCCTAAGACAGGCAAAGAGAGAGGGGCTGGGGAAGGAGCTGGAAGTCTGGCCCCTGCCGGCCCCTGCTCCCAGGGGCAGAAAACCAGCTAGTCTCAGACTTACTGAGTGCTTACTGCATCCCAGGTGTTGTTCATGGTCTCTACAGGGCCATTTTACAGGTGAGGAAACCGAGGCACAAGGGGGTAAGTTGCCCTGGACCACATTGTAAATGGCAGATCCGGGCTATGAACACAATGGTGGACCCCAGGGCCCCTGCTCTTACATCACTCCCACGGCCTCAGAGACAATGTGCCACGCCATCTATAAGCACATAACATCCAGCTCTGTCAGGTTACTCATTGCTGAGATGAGGAAACCAAGCTCAATGAAGGGAAGCCAAACACAAGAAGACAAATCCCCCCATGCCTCAGTTTCCCCATTTCTAAGTGGAGGCATTGCATCAGAAGTCTACAGGGTGTCCCACCACCCTTTGAGTCTGGGGCTATAGCAGGGGGTAAGGCAGGGAGCTTGGGGTGACTCACCCAAAGGAGTAGACGGAGCTGGAGTTGTAGTAAGGACCGAGACGGGTGCTGGCAATGAGCTCTCGGAGCTTTGAAGAAGAAGAACCTCCATGGTGAACCTGCCCGGGGCAGACAGCCCCAAGCACCTTTCTACCTGGGCATCCCTGGCTCCTCCCGGCAGCCCTGCAGAAGCCCCTAGCAGTGGGGAGGCTCTCCTGGGTCACCCAGTGGTCAGTGGCCAAGGCACCAGCTTCACACCCATTCCACCCTTTTGTTTCCTCCCACACACAGCCAGGCACTGCTCCACTGCAACTCTGGCTTCTACCCCAGCACCTGTGGCTTTCTTTCTCCCTCTGTGAACTTGACTCTGAAAAGTCCACTCAGCTGCTGAGTGCCCTTCCTTGTCTCCCTGAAGTGGCCTCTGGCACAGCCATTGATAAGGAAATCTGCTGGGTGGTCTGTGCACGTTTTCAGTTACGGTACTGATGGCAGGACCAGGTGATAGATGTGTGTGCATAAAGCTCTTTGAACAGCATGGAGATGATGTCCACATGGTCGTCTTTCTTGCCCCACCCAATGAGGCAGGCCCAGTGACCATTAGATCCACTTTCCAGATGAAGAAACAGAGACTTTAGATCATGTCCCTAAGTCAAGGACATGAGGCAAGTGGGTGAGAGTTTATCTGAAGGTGATTGCAGGAAACACTGGTTGGGAAGTGAGGAAAGGAGATGGGGAAGAGGGGTAGCCAATAGGGGCTATTAATGAGCAGGTTAGAGCTGTAGGCAACTGAGGCTCAACCCACCAAGGACCTCTGGGAGCTGACGTGAGCATCCTCAGAATTGCCTCACCACCAAAGGCCAAGGAGCCCGGGGTGTTTACCCACCAGCTCGCACCTCTCATTGGCTGAGTGTTGCTCCTGGGCACATGAACTCCCAACCCCTCTGGTCTGCTGGGCGGAGTGTGGCCCTGTGGCTGCGAGAAGCAAGGGCTTACAGCAGGAAGTCCACCCCAGCAATCAGCCATCACCACGTAGGGAAGGTGAGTGCCCAGGGATGTGGGTGGGGCCTCGCATCCTCGGATGCACTGTGCTCACTTTCCTGAAGTCACACTTCTAGCAAATAGCCCAGCAGGATTTAATTCAAGTGCCTTTGATACGAGAGCCCATTAACTTTCTACCCTGTACCAGGTCCCCCTTCTCAATATTTCCCCCATCATGCCTAGAACATGCCTAGATGTCATATCATGCCTAAATATCATGCTTGGTAAAGTAGGGGTCAACAAAAAAGGGGAAGGCCCTCAACAAGATGGATTGACACAGTGGCTGCAACGATGGGCTCAGGCATAGCAAGGATTGTGAGGCTGGTGCAGGACCAGGCGGTGTTTCGTTCTGTTGTCTATGGGGTCGCTATGAATCAGAGCCGGCTGGACTGCACCTAACAAGGACAACATGCCCAGAACAGGGCCGTGCTCCCAGTGAGTGCTCTGCATGGACCGAGCAATTGGCTTGGTATGATCAGACTCCTCCCCTCTCCCTCCTAGCCTCTCCCTCCGCCCCCCTCCCAACCCCTCCATCCTTCCCTACCATCCTCTGGGCTTTGGCAGTTTCGCTGCGGAAGGCACTGGACTCTCGGCGGGCAAGGTCCTGGGAGAAGTGGCGATTGAGCACCCGGAGGCTGCCTGAGTACACCTGGCTGACCGTCACCTCCGCCTTGTACCCTGCCCGGAAAAGAGCCGGCAGGGTTAGCCAAGGGAACAGACAGGAAGGGCTCCTGTCCTCCCATGCCTTCTCCTGCCACTTGAAACCCTCAGCTCAGCCTCAGAGTCCTGAACCCCAAGACTCCATCCTTTTTTCAATGTCATTGTCACCTAAAGTTTATTTGATGCTAAATTGGCCCAAAGTGCCTGGGAGGAGAGGGGTCCCCAGATGGATGATGTCCTAGTCAGAAGAGGCTGACACGGTGACCGGTCCAGGACACAGAGGATATGAAGGCCTGGAAACCCACATGGGCGCAGCAGTGGTGGGTGGGACAGGTATTACTCCAACATCATGTAGGCTCCACCTGTGAGGAGTGCCACTAAGAGAAACACAGGGTGCTTCTGAGATGAGATGACAGAAACCTGTCCTGGACTGGGATGACCTTAGCACTGAGGTACGAGGACTGAGAAAGTAAACTGAGAAAAGGAAAAGGAAAGAAGTGCCTTCTAGGCAGAGGGGACAGCATGAGCAAAGGCCCTGAGCAAGAAGGGCCATGGCAAGTTGAGAGGTTAACTACCTGTTTGGTTGGAGCTGTCAGAAATGGGAACGGTGGTGCAGCAAGAGGCTAGGGTGTCAGTCGGGCTGGGCTGAGCAGGCCCTTAAGAGAGGATTTTGATCTTTACTCAGTGAGCGAGGGAACCCACGAAAGAGTTAGAATTAAGGGTAATGTCATCAGATTTCCATTTTGTTAAAGCTCGGTTTGGGCTGGTTTATAGAGTGTGGATCCATAGCCCTGGTTTAGACTCGTTTCTATTCATTGATTCATTCATTCAACCTGCATTGATTGACAACTTACTATTTGCAGGTACTGGTCTAAAGTACCTGGGACCAGGTCAGTATAACAATGATCAAAACAATAAAGAAAAAAAAAAAAAAAAAAAAGCTCTTAAGAGTTCATAGTCCAGCAAGGAAGACAGATAACTAACCACAGACACAGACTATAACCTGTCAAAGCGGGAAGTGCTGTTGGATAAGGGGCTGGACAGGGTTGCAATTACAAACGTGGAGGCCCAGGAAGAAGACAGAGCCAGCTGTGTGGATGTGCTCCAAGGGAGAGAGCATTCAGGCAGCGGGACTGGCATGTGCAAAGGCCCCAAGCAAGCTTGCCTGGCGTGTTTGAGGAACCCCAAAGAGCGAGCAAGAGGAAGAACAGGGAGAAGTGAGTTGGAGTCTGGGGGTGACGGAAGGCCCCATAAGCCCCAGAGGACTTCAGTTTTGACTCTGAGAGAGATGGGAGCTGTGTGTGTGTGTGTGTGTGTGGGGGGGGGGTTAATGATTTCATTTCCTTTATAAACTGATTTCTCTGCTACTGTATTGAGAATAGACTTGAAGGTGGCAAGGACAGGAGCAGGGAGACCAGTGAAGAGGCCACTGTAGCTGTCCAGATGAGGGATGAGGGGGTGATAGGGTGATAGAGGCCTGGACCAGGCTGTGGTTGTGGAGAGGGCAAGAAGTGATTGTTGTTGTTGTTGTTGTTATGTGCCGTCGAGTCGGCCCCAACTCATAGCAACTCCTCCTTGGGTTTCCGAGGCAGTATCACTATGGAAGTAGGATTGCCCAACCTTCCTTCCGAGGAGTGGCTGGTGGGTTTGAACCGCCAGCCATCTGGTTAGCAGGCAAGTGCCTTAGCCACTATGCTACCAGAGCTCCCAAGAAGTGATTAGATTCTGGATATATTTTGAACTTAGAGATTATCAGGGTTGGTAGCAAATTGGGGGTAGTATATAGGAGAAAAAGAAGCTCTGGTGGTGTAGTGCCTAAGGTATTTAACTGCTAACCAGAAGGCTAGCAGTTCAAAACCACCAGCTACTCCATGGAAGTAAGACTGGACAGTCTACTTTCAAAAAGATTTACTGCCCCGGAAATCCAGTGGGGGTCTCTATGAATTGGAATGGACTCAGTGGCATTGAATTTTTTTTTTCAACATATATATAGGAGAAAGGAGTCCTCAGATGGTGCAAATGGCTATTGCTCTCAAAGGTTGGAGGTTCAAGTCTTTCCAGAGGCACCTCGGGAAAAAGGCCTGGAGATCTTCTTCTGAAAAATCAGCCATTGAATCCCTGTGGAGCACAGTTCTGCTCCGACCCACACAAGGTTGCCATGAGTCCTAGTGGACTCAAGGGCAACCAGTTTCCTGCTAGAGGAGGAAAAGAGGGCTAAGGGAGGAGTGCCAGGAAGGAGGAAAGGGCCCCACCAGGGGCACAGGTTTGGAGAAGACAGGGGTTGCAACCAGAACATGTGGGGTGCGAGCGGCTCCGTGCACCTCTGGAGGAGCAGGGCTCCAGGTTTAGAGTCTGGAGCTCAGGGGAGAGGCCCTGGCTGGAAATGCAAATTCGGGAATCCTCAGGGTGTGAGAGACTTTTAGATGAAGCCCCAGGGATGAGATCATTGCAAGTAGCTGAAGGCGAGGGAGAGGCCTCCTCCGAAGACATTGGGGGGAACAGAAAACCCTGCAGCAGAGTGGGGTGGGGAGACAGGGTTTGGAGGTGGAGGCTGTGGGGAAAGGGGTGGAGTCCAGTGCGTGGATGGTCAGGTTCCTGGAGGACACAGAACTGGCCTTTGGATTTAGCAACATGGCATCACTGGCAGCCTTGCTAAGGGTGCCTGAAGCTGGGGAGGGAGAGCCAGACCGGGGAGGGTCCCGGAGAGACTAAGGGTGGACGTGGAGGCAGCAGCGTGGACAGAGTTTCTCGGGAGGAGTTTGCTGCCTAGGGGAGAAGGGGAGTCAGGGTGTTGAGGGGGAGGATGCTGGCTGTAGGAGCAGTGAGCATGTTGGATGGAAGTGGTGCTGGGCCATGGTGTGGCGGCCAGAGGGGCTGGGACCCGGTACCTGGAGGAGGCTGGCTTTGAGTGGGATGTGGGGGCAGCTGGAAGGTGTGTGGTGGGGTCTCTGGGACTTCTGAGCAGTCCTCATTGAAGCAGGAGGCAAAGGGAAAGTGAGGAGGGAAAGGGAGGTGCTGGGAGGGAAGCAGGAACCTACCTAGAGGGGCACAGAGTACGTGTTGGCAGCACTGAGGGGCCGAGCCTGGATCCCCATTTCCCATGAGCACCAAGCATCGCATCGGGCACCTGGGTGAGCCAGCTCCTGCCCAGGCCGCCTCTCAAGCCTAGTGGTTCATGGCTCACTCTGGGCTCATCCTGCTCCACCCATTGGGCCTTTGTTCATCTCCCCTGCAGGTGGGGAGCTCCACCAGGCCAAGCATGTCCACTCATCTCCATGCCCGGGACCCAGCATGCATCTGGAGCAAAGGCTGGGCCCAAGTCCCTCGACCCATGGCGAGGTTGTCTGCCCCCTCGAAGGCTTAGGAGCTCTCAGCCAGGGTCCTAGACGTGTGGGGCAGCCCTCCTTCCCCGGGGGGCTTCAGAGTGCAATCAAAAGGAATTAGTGTCCTCTGCAAAGAAAGACAATGGGTTGCGGGTTCCTGCCCTCCACCCTGCTGCTCTGTGGTTTACCCTGAAGACTAATTATCCCGCTACACTGCTGCCCAAGGAGGCCCAGCAGCCCTGGCGCTATTTGGGGCGCTGGTTTCCTGCTGGTGGCGAAGTGTGCGCAGCGTAGACTCCCCGCCCACAACACTCCTCTGCGCAGTCACAGTCCACCCTATGTGGCCTCACGAGCGGGTCTGTGCCAAACCTGGGATTCCTGACAGCGTCAGTTGAGAGGCCAGTTCAGCCTACCCTCGCGCCAACCCCCTCTGGGAATGGGTCTAGGCAGATTTCCCTGATAGCTGCTACAAAACGGGTCCCCCAAACCCTTTCAGAAGGCCTGACACCCCTCTATGAGAGTTCCAAAACTCAAACCAAACTCACTGCCATCGAGTCAATTCTGGCTCATAGTGACCCCCATTGGGTTGCCAAGGCTGTAAATCTTCATGCTAGCAGACTGTCCCATCTTTCTTCCCCAGAGCAGCTAATGGGTTGTCACCGTTGATGCTTTGGCTAGCAGCCAAATGTCTTAACCACTGCACCATTGGAGCTCCTTCCATGGGAAAACCAGTGAAAAGACTATTTAACTATTGCAGGATGTTTATGGATGTCTTTGATCACTTTGGCAAGTAGGTTGTCCCTGTCACAGGCTCCCCCAAGCCCTCTGGGGCTCCCCTATTCTAGCATACACTATGCTCTATGATAACCATTGTGTCTGACTCTGCAACTAAGTCATGAGGCTGGCAGCAGAGCCTGGCACCGAGCCTGACACACAGGAAGTGCTCAGCACTGAATGAATGAATCTTCCACAGAGTCTGGGAGCATTGTCTCAGATATCATGTAATGTGGTTTCTCTATTACTGCACATGGCCAAGAAAAACAAACCAAACCAAACTCACTGCTGTTGAGTCGGCTCCGACTCATAGTGACCCCTCCTTGGGTTTCCGAGGCGGTATCACTACGGAAGTAGATGGCCCCATCTTCCTTCTGAGGAATGGCTGGTGGGTTTGAACCGCCAGCCTTCTGGTTAGCAGTCCAGTGCCTTAGGCACTATGCTACCAGAGCTCCCCCATCGCCAAGAGGCAAAGGAAAAAGATGCAGTCCCCATCCGTTTTAGAGCAAGACAAAGCAGGTGCTCAAAGAATGTTGAATGAATGAGGGAATGAATAGAAGGTGGATGAATGAATGGGCCCAGAGCATGGACTCCAGGGGACTGAGGGTTGTGACACTGGGAAAACCCCAAAACCAAACTCTGTCAATGAGTTGGTTCCATCTCACAGTGCCCCTAGAAGACAGAGTCAACTGCCCCATAGGGTTTCCAAGGCTGTCAATCTTTACGAAAGCAGATTGCCTCATCTTTCTCCTGCACAGCAGCTGGTAGGTTCAAACTGCTGACCTTTGGTTAGCAGCTGAATGTCATAACCACTGTACCACCAGAGCTCCCGGCGATTCTGGGAAGGGAGGGCCAAAGTTAAGGGCAGGGGAGAGGCCACAAGCCAGCTAGTCTCCAATTCCAAGCCTACCTTTCTGGAGTTGTTGGCTCCCCATATACCCACGCTGGGGCATGAAACACCCCCCAGAGGCCTGAGTCCTGTGTCTCCCCCCCACACACACTCTTCCCTCATTTGTGCTGGGGCCTGGAGACGTAGAGATGACAGAGCTAGGTCCCTGCCCTAAAGAAGTAGCAGGCTGGGCTCAAGTGAGCAGAGTTACTAATTGGTACCCGGACGCCCAGGTGCCATGAGCCTCCGCTAGGAGAGATGGGCTGGCTCTGAGCCCAAGGGGTGACCCAGGAGGGCTGTGGGCAAGGGAGGGCAGTGTTTACACTCCCTTTGGCTTGTTGGTTCACGAGAACGGGGTGCTGGGCTCAATTCACAATGGGCTGGAGCAGGGAACGACTTGGAAAGTAGGATCCACAGCTTTGCCATTTCACAGGGCAGAAAGGGGGCTCAGAGAGGGCAAGTGACTTGCCCAAGGTTGCACAGTGCATTGTCAAGTGTTGCTGAGCCTGGAATCCTGGTCCCTCCGGCTGTGCCCCCATGGCCTCCCCAAGCCCTCCCCAGGTGCCTTTGCCCGTGGGCCCACATGGTTACCTAGGAAATACCAGAGCAAGACCCCCACTGAAGCCAGCACGACCAGGGCCAGCCACAGGGGCGCCAGGCGGAGGTAGTCCCGGGCTTTCCTCTTGGAGTCCTTGGGGGCCTTGAACATCCCCTCTGGCTCTGCCTCCTCACCTTCGCCTCCATCGCTCTGCCCGCCAGCCGCGTGGGGGGCCTCGGCTCTGGGCATCCTGGGGGGAGGCGGGGAATCAGATTGAGGTTGGAAACAGCCTGGGATTTGCAAAGCAGCCTGTACTGAGCACCGAACCTGTGCAGACGTTAGGCGGTGCCCTCCCTCTCTTTGGGGAGGAGGAAAGCAGCCCCCCAGGCAGCAGTGCTTGGAAGCGAGCACCGAGCCCAATTCGCAGAGGGTAGCACAGCTCCGTCTGCTCACCTGCACCCGCCTCCCTGGGCTGCCAGGGTAGGTGGAGTTCAGTGCCTGACCACCCCCTGGTGCTGCACCCACGTACGGTACTGGAGTTAACATGCATAGCAAAGTGGGGGGTCAGCAAAAACAGGGGGAACGCTCCATGAGACATGACAGTGGCAACAATGGGCTCAAACACCAACCACCACGGGGAAGACACGGGACAGGGCCACTCAAAGGCAACCAACAAAGTGTCTGCAAAGCAGCTGCTCTTGCCCCAGTGTCTGTTCCCCTGGGACTGCTTGGCTTCCTTCCTGGCCAAGCTTCCCGCCATGTCAGTGCCATCAGTTCCGTCCACCCCTCCCCATGGAGCCCCTGAGCCTGCACGGGGCTACGGACATGCCCTGCCTTCAAGCAATGCCAGCCATGTAATCACCCACTCTCCCCAAAGTCTCTTGTTGAGGAGAAAGGGAGTGAAAACTAAACTAATATTCATTTAGGGTTTGTGCAAGACAGTTCACAGATGTCACCTCCTGTGATCCTCTGGTCACCCAGGGATGTAGGGAGCATTGTCCATGGGTTTTTTTCTTCCTCAGGCCCAGTGTGCTGAACACTTCACAGGCATTATTTGTTTAAACTCCCAAATGTCTCTATGAACCAGATTCTGTACCCATTGGGCAGGTAAGGAAACTGAGACCCAGAACATTCTGGCAATGACTTGATCCAGAGGCTCACTTTCCAGATGTGGTTTTAATATCTGGCATTCATCACCAGCCACATTTTACAGATGAAGAAACTGAAGCCCAGAGAGGCTAAGCCACTTGCCCGCGGTCACACAGCAGGTAAGTAGGAGTTGAGCCTAGATGTCTGACTTCCTGTTCTTTCCCCTACTCAGGGCTGGTTCATGGAAAATGAGCTGTTAATCAACAAGTCGTGTTTATATCATAACTAGCTGTTTTCTCTCTGGGAGTGCTGAGGGCGCTGGGCCAGCAGCTCTGACTCCAGACCCCCAAGTGAACTTCTGAGAGTTAATTGGCGTCTGGGGCAGGCTTTCCCACAATGAGGAGAAGGCTCGCAGCAAGCAAGGAGTCCAGACCTCTGAGCTCTTAGTCTCCTGTTTCCACACTCAGAAGTTGCCACTCTGGCTTTTAAATGCACCTACCAAAGCTAAGAGGTGGTGGTTGGGGGAGGTTCAGGGGTAATTGCCCCCTTAGGGCTGTGTCTGAGCTTGGGAATTCACACAGTGGGTTTTCTGAAAATGAGGCTCTCTGTGACGTTCAAATCCTCCCAATGGATGCAAGGGCCCTGGCCTTCCTCCTTGCTGCCAGTCTCCTCCCAGCACTGGTCCTAGCCAAGGGTCCCTGGCATCCCTAGCCCTCTCCAGCGGTCCCCACCAGATACAAAGAAGGGGGAGCTGTAGTGATTCTCAATTAGGCATGGTGCCCCCTCTCCCCGAGACGTTCTTAAATGTGAGGCTAGTCCTACTGGTTTTTATGGGGCCAGGGATGGCGAATTCCGTAATTGGCGGTACAGCCTGTCCACTGCCCCCTCAGTGCCCACGACACACTGGGGCAAAGGAGAAGGAACAGAGGACGGAGAGGTGAAGAGAAGGCCAGGCGGCAGGACCCGAGTGCCCAGCACAGAGTCACAACTACCCTGGCCGGTCACCTGTGTCTCGAGCTGCGGTGATGGGCCAGCTCCCCACCCCCTCTCGGGGCCAGCCCCTCCCTCCACCAGAAGCTTTACTCTGGAGTCTGGACCACCACGGAGTTATTGCTGGATGACTCACAGGGCCATGGGGATTTTCTTAAAGGCTTACATGAGAGATAAAAAAACAAATAAAACCCACTGCCTTTGAGTGGATCCTGACCCATAGTGACCCTGTATGACAGAATAGAACAGTCCCATAGGGTGTCCAAGGCTGTGATCTTTACAGAAGGAGCTTGGGTGCATAGTGCATAAGACGTTTAACTGCTAACAGAAGGTTGGTAGTTCAAACCCACCAGCTGCTCTGTGGGAAGAAGATGAGGCAATCTACTTCTATAAAGATTTACAGCCTTGGGAACCCAATGGGGTTCTTCAACAATTATGATTCCAGAGTTCCTTAAGGTAACAATAAAAAACCAAATGCACTGCCATGGAGTCGGATCCATCTCATAGCTACCCCTCCTTGGGTTTCTGAGGTGGTATCACTATGGAAGTAGATCGCCCAGTCTTTCTTCTGAGGAGTGGCTGGTGGGTTTGAACTGCCAGCCTTCTGGCTAGCAGTAAAATGCCTTAGGCACTACGTCACCAGAGCTCCTGACAAACAACCCAAAACCAAACTCACTGCCAACAAGTCAGATCCGGCCCATAGTGACCTCTTCTTGGGTTTCCGAGGCAGTATCACTACGGAAGTAGATTGCCCAACCTTCCTTCCGAGGAGTGGCTAGTGGGTTTGAACCTTCAGCCTTCTGGTTAGCAGTCAAATGCCATAGGCACTGCGCCACCAGAGTCCCAACTCTATGCTGTTTCCAGTCCTTTACATGCACTCTCTCATGTAAGCCTTTAAGAAAATCCCAAAGTCAAACCCAAACCTGTGGCCATTGAGTCAATTCTGGCTCAGAGTGACCCTATAGGACAGAGTAGAACTGCCCTCCTAGGGTTTCCAAAGTAGTAAATCTTCACAGAAGCAGACTGCCCCATCTTTCTCCGTGGAGCAGCTTATGGGTTCAAACCATTGCCATCAGAGCTCTTTCAAACCAAATCAGTTGTAATCATGTTAATTTAGACTCATGACAACCCCATATGTGCAGATCAGAACCGTGTTCCACAGGGTCTTCCTAGCTGTGACCTTTGGAAGCACATTGCCAGGTCTGTCTTTCAAGGTGCCTCTGAGTAGGTTTGAACCATCAACCTTTCAGTTAGTAGTCGCTTAACCCTTTGTGCCACCCAGGGCTCCTTAGGCCTTATACAGACCTTAAACAAAACCAAATCAAACTCACTGCTGTGGAGTCAGATCTGACTCATAGCGACCCCTCCTTGGGTTTCCAAGGCAGTATCTCTGGTAGCATAGTGGCTAAGACACTTGCCTGCTAACCAGACGGCTGGCGGTTCAAACCCACCAGCCACTCCTCGGAAGGAAGGTTGGGCAATCCTACTTCCGTAGTGATACTGCCTCGGAAACCCAAGGAGGGGTCGCTATGAGTCGGGGCCGACTCGACGGCACATAACAACAACAACAACAACAATCACTGTGGAAGTAGATTGCCCCATCTTCCTTCCGAGGAATGGCTGGTGGGTTTGAACAGCCAGCCTTCTGGTTAGCAGTCAAGTGCCTTAGGCACTATGCCACCAGAGCTCCCATACAGACCTTGTTGTTGTTGTTGTTATGTGCCGTCGAGTCGGCCCCGACTCATAGCGACCCCTCCTTGGGTTTCCGAGGCAGTATCACTACGGAAGTAGGATTGCCCAACTTATCTCCATTTCACAGTGAGACAAATGAGGCACAGAGAGGGTGAGCAAAAGGCCATAGAGTTGGTAAGCACAGCCCTACTCTGCAAACCCAAGCAATTTGTCTCCAGAGACCACTGTGACCACTCTTCTGCACTGCCTCACATGCCACCAGTGTGCAGATGCGGAAATGGGTTCAGAGAAGGTCACTGGTTGGTTAGACTCGGCACCAAGAGGAGAAGTTCAGGTAGGACTCAGTCAGCCTTGCCACTCCCTTGCCCCTTCCCCAGGCCAGGCCCTCACCCTAAGGACTTAACCTCCCTCGTAAATGCCTGGTAGTCCATCTGGGGGACTCTGAGGGTCCCAGAGGAGCCCCATTGTCAGAAAACCCACTGCGTAAAATCCCAAGATTAGACATGGCCCTAAGAGTTCACCTGTGCTCACCGTCATTCCAGCCTCAGCTCCTGCAACAGCCTCTTAGCTGGGCTCCCTGCCTCCCACCTCCTCCTGCAACACTTCCTGCCTGGCTCCTGTCACTCACCTGCTACCAGCTTCCTGTGTCCTAAGACCCTCCACGACCAGGCCAATGCCATCCCCTCTTCCAGCTGTAATTTCCAACAAGTAACTTTCCCTGCAGAGTCACGAGATCTTGCCCAAAGGGCTGCTCCAAGGGCACCTGCCAGGTGGTGGGTTCTGGGACCCAGGAGCTGCTTGAGGCAGGATCTGTGTCATGTTCACCTCTGGTTCCCCATAGAACCAGCATAGGGCCTGCCACACGAATGAGTGAATGATTCATGAATGAATGAATGAATGAAGTGGCCAGTTTTCCAGACTCCCGTACAGAACTCTCTCCTTCCATCTTGCTGCCTCCAGGAAGCAGGACTTGTGAGGTGTGGCACTGGGACCTGCATCAAGATGTTGGCCTTTGGAGTCCTAAATTCAAGTATGGAGTCACCTCATTTTTGCTGAGCACCTGCTTGGTGCCAGACTCTACTGGGTATGGGAGCACATTGGAGAATACAAGAGACCCCATGCCCATCTTCTTGGGCTTCTTGCCCAGCAGAGAGAGAGGTAGTGTTGTTGTTGTTGTTAAGTGCCGTCAAGTCGTTTTCGACTCATAGCGACCCCATGCACAGCAGAACGAATCACTGCCCAATCCTGCGCCAGCACCACGATCCCTGCTATACTTGAGCCCATCATTGCAGACACCGTGTCAATCCATCTCATTGAAGGCCTCCCCCTCTTTCGTTGACCCTCCACCCTACCAAGCATGACATCCTTCTCCAGGGAATGGTCCCTTCTTACAACATGACCAAAATAGGTGAGACGAAGTCTGGCCATTCTTGCTTCCAAGGAGCATTCTGGCTGCACTTCCTCCAGGACAGATCCGTTAGT